CCATACTGTTTTCCAGAGTGCTTGGACCATTTTACATTCCTATCAGCAATGTAGGAGAGTCCCAGTCTCTCCACATCCTTGCCAGCATAAAATAGACTCTATTTTTTTCTAATCTTTTATTTTTATTTTTACATAAAAAAATATTTTATTGTGAATTGGGTGAAGATTTACAGAACAGATCAGTTTTTTGATCAACCATTCATACACATTTTGCTATATGTTATTGATTGAAATCTCCACATTACCTACCTGTTTGATTGTCCCCCTGATAGCTTATCTATTGTTTGACTGAAATTTGAGCCAGAGGTTGAGCTCAGTTCCTGACCTGATGGGTGAGTAAGGGGCATAGTCTCCGGGATTCCACAAAATTGTTGTTGTTAAGTGCCATCAAGTTGGTTCCAACTCATAGGGACCCAGTTGTAAAGTGTTTCTGGGGCTATAAATCTTTGTGAGAGCAGAAAACCTGCTATTTCTCCCACAAAGTGGTGGTAGGCTCAATCTGCCTACCATGTTTTTATTTGGGTGGGCAAGAAAGTTGCACGGGTCATACCACCTTGCATGGATGCTTCCCTCGTTCTATTCCACTTAACTAGACTGAATTGTTCAGCAAAGGGAGGTAAAAAGGAAGAGCAAAGCATTTGAGTTTAAGGAGTTGCGTTGACTTTAAAGAAAGATGTTAAGTAAATTATTAGACAGATAATACTTGGATCTGACAAAAACTGAGAACAGAATTTGTGTATGACAGCTTTGCAGCATGTCAGACAAATGATGGGTCTGCTTGAAGTAGAAATCTCAGTTTAGGCTTAAAGACTAAAATGAAGGGGCATTGCCCCCGTCATGGCTAGCTCCTTTAATTGTAATTGTCTAAAGCCTATCTTATCTTGTCCTCCCAGGTTTCATTTTTTGAGGAAGAACGGAACATACTATCTCGGAGCACAAGCCCTTGGATCCCCCAACTGCAGTATGCCTTTCAGGACAAAAATAGCCTTTATCTGGTGAGCCTTTACATCCATCTCTCAGAAATCAGTCCAGTGCTGACGTTCACACATAACACAGTTGTCACATCAATTGTGGTTCCTGCCCATTTAGTCCACGACGCCTCCGTATTCATTCAGTTGCTTTCTTGACTTTCAGATGTCTCCCTGTTATCCTTGTTCTAAAGAACAAGGTCTCCCCATTTAGAAACTGCCCCATTGTTGGATATTGTGTTTGTGGCTTAAAGGGCAGTAACGAGAAGCCAGTCCATCATTGTCTTTAATAAATCTTGCTTTTGTTTTTAAAAACTGAAATACTAGTGTATATTATTGTTATATAAAAGGTGTAAATGCTTCAGAAATGTATAAAATAAAGGAGAAAGTCCTTTACATCCCTCTCTAATCCTTCTCCCTAGGGAAACAAATGTCATTGGTTACTATGTGCTTTCTGTCCCCTAACCACACCGAACAGAACACTTAACTCTGTATCAGCATGTATAATACATGGATGTAGTTTGCTTTGCAAAAATGGTATGTTACTTTTCTCTTCAACTTGCTTTTTGCCTTTCAGCAATTTTTCATGATAAATAAAAAGCTTGGGTATCTTTCCCACATCTGTACATACAGGTTTACCTCATCCTTTTGAATGATGACATAGTTTTTCCCCAATATACTTGTAGCATAACTTCTAGAAGCCTAAAGTTCATTTTGGGACCTTGCTGATTTTAGCCTCTGAGTAGTTTGGGTTCCTAGTTTAAAAAGACTATCCTCAAAACAAATTTTGTTTCTTATTTATCCCTTCTTGTTAGGGTTGTTTGCTACTAAGTCAATTCCGTCTCATGGTGACCCCATAGGACAGAGCAGAACTGCCCCACAGGGTTTCCTCGGTGGAAATCTTTACAGGAGGCAGTGTCCAGGTCTTTTCTCCTGCGGAGTGGTTGGTGGGCTCGAACCACTAACCTCTTGGTTAGCAGCTGAAATCTTAACTTTTGCTCTTTCAGGGCTCCTTGATTTAGCCCTTACAAGCACACTGTCCCACTGCCTAGAGTGGAGGTAGAATGTTACAGAATCTTATACAGAAAATAGAGTAAATGAGAGACAGATTTCCAGATGTCTGGAACTTCGGCTAGGCATTTTCTTGGGGACTGTCACTCTTTATTTCTGGCCTAGAATGAACAGTTTCTGTGTCTTGGTTTCATGTTAGTTGAGAACTCAGTGCCCACGGTGAAGTTATCCTAGTCCCTACTCCAGGCTTCAGAGCGAGAGTGTGGGGATGCTCCCATGTTCCTTTCCGAAAGCCCATGTGTTTAGGGCCCCAAACGTTGCTTTCCTTGAATATTGCCATTGAAGGTTTGCTGTCCTGACACCTGCAGAATGGACCCCTCATCTTCACAACTGACCTCCGTGTTTGCAGGGTCACTGATGTGCTAGTACATTTGTTGTCTGGTGAGATGTTTGCCTCATGCTCTCTGTGTCTCGTGGAACCCCTCTTGGCTTGGATGCATTAACAGGCTTCTTCATTAGCCCTCAGAAACATTCCTTTGAAACAGTTGGTCTTTTGGGTTTGGTTTGTCCTTTTTGTTAGTCATTTTCGTTTTGGATATTTTAATTAGAACTCTGCAAGAAATTTAGAACACCAATTTGTGAGGATAAATTCCGTTTTGGAGGCAACCCAGACCACAAGCTAAAAAAGGCTCTGGTTTTGGGTAAAAGTTCACTGTATTCTGGTCTGCCTTGCACTGCTCCATAAACTCAGGTTAGAGGTGACGGGGACACATTTTGAGTTTGTTCTTAGTTGAGAACTAGTGACATGAGGGAAAGTACTCTTCATAGTCTCAGTAAGGATGACCAGAAGGGCCTGGGAGGCATGCTTTTTTTCTTTCACATGGACTGTAGTTGTCATTTTGTTTGTTTTTATGGCATAACAGTTTTCAAAGTATCAGTAGAGTAGCATTTTGATGTCTCCGTAAACTCCTGATGTGGTGCTGTAGGATAAGCATTGGACTGCTAACCACCAAGTCAGCAGTTCAAACCCATCAGCCACTTCCTGTAAACCCTATGCAGGTCTCTGTGAGTTGAAACTGACTAGATGGGAGTCAGTTGACAACAGCATCAGTTCTTATCACCATCAACTGACTTTGTCACTGTGGTCACTTGGGCTTTGCTGCTCTTCATTTCTCTTGGACTTCCCTTATGGATTGGGAATATGTTTGGGTTCCTCTGGCTGTGACAAGCTCTTGAGTACGGCAGACTTCCTTTTCCTGCACTTCTTTGAGTGTGGGGCTTCCATCTGGTCCTTGCCATTAGCCGTAGCATCCTTGGCTTCATGACTGTCAGTTTTTTTTCACCTTTCATCTTGCAGTATGAGAAAGCTTAAGGTAACCATTCCCTGGAATTCTAGTTGCCTCAGCACATTTATACCTGGGTGCAGTGAAATGTTTGCACCCTTCTTTAGTAGCTCAGTTGGGTGTTACTGATGGGATCTGGTGATTATTTTCTTGTCTGCATTTCCTTCTCAAGTAGGGGGGTACTTTGGAATAAAGTGCTTGCTAAGGGGATAGTTTTCGTATAAAAATACAAACTAGTATAAGTAATTAAGAGCTAATTATAAGGTCACCATCTTTTATTTTCTGTTTTGAAATACCCAGAGCTCTGGAAAGCCTCCTCAAGTTCTTTCATTACTTCTTTGGCAGTTATGCTTGGTTTGACTTCAATCTGTGGCAAAACCTGACCCAAATTCCCTTAATTGATTCCCTTTAGTCTGAATCGTCATATATTTTCCTGCAAGGGTATGATTGCATTTGTTTCTGGGTGATGTCCCAGACCCTACTGGGAGTGTTACACAATATATAATTTAGGCACCATTTCCCTTTCTAAAATCTGAACATCTCTGAATCCTGAATCCCATCCTGCTGCAAAAGAAAGTTATTGTAGATCTGTGTTGGCCTTGTGAAGGACTGAGCTTCCATGGTTTCTCTTGACCACTTTTGTATATATCACTAACCTTTGAAGGCTAGAGAAGAGAAACTTCCTTTCCCAGGGAAGCGCCCCTGGCACTTGAAGATTCATTTACAATGCAAATGAAGTTCCCTTTCCAGTACTTTGAAGAATTTTCAGTGGATAAAAAGAAAAAGGTGGATTCCACCTCCAGAATTTCTTCACTTTCTGCCTCTCCTGTCCAGTCTTAATCCCGCTATGAGAGGCCTGGCCACCATCCCCTTGCCTACTTTGAGGTGCAAATCTCCCAAGTCTTCTCTCTGCCATCTGTCTTGTCCTCTCCCAAGTGTGCAAACTACAGCCAGAGTCATCCACTGCCAAGACGCTTCACAATACCTGGCTGCAGGACAACAGTGCGAAAGATTAGATAGGAATGTTAGGGGGCAGTGAGTTCATGTGCATGTGGGAGGGACAACTCAGGTAAGGAGGGTGAGAATGGTTATACACCTGGATGATTGTCATCAGTCTCACTGAAGGGTCCGAGTAAAAGTGATTGAATTGGTTTATGTTTTGTTGTGTATGCTCCTCAACAGTGACCACAAAATAAAAAAACAACAACACATGTTCCCCACCCCCTGAAAAAATACAGATGTCCTGGTCCCACTCCAGCCCTTCTAGGTCTTTTGTAGCTGGTAACTTTAACATACATATGAGTTGTGGCATGTTCGCATCAGAAATGCAGATTTCCAGAGTCTAACCTAAAGGAACTGCCAACAGTTCAGCGGGAAAAAGATGAGGCTGCTCCCATAAAGATTTATAGTCTTGGAAAACCTATACAAGGTCGCTATGAGTCAGAACCAACTTCATGGCTTGCAACCAATTAACCAACCAGCTGAGAGGAATACGGCAGGAATCTGCATTTTCCAGTTATGCCAAGTAATTAATGGAGACTTATGCTTTTGAGGAGCCCAGAGCAGGACCCTGGCATTAGCTTCCCCGAAGGGAGTGGGACAGGCTCTCAGTTTTCTTTCAACTATTTTTATTTTACATTTATCTGTTTTACATTAAAGCCCCTTTTTAAATGAAAATAACTGGCAATTGACTCAATCCTCAGTATTTTTTTTTTTTTTAAGAGGCAACAATTAATATTTTTATTTTCAGGGTAATGTTGCATTTCTTAAATCATACTCCTTTCATCTAATCCTCGGTTTTCCTTAAGTGTGTTTTTATGGTTTTAAATATGGAATCAGGTGTGCTTAGGGGCTGATCAAGAACCATATTTGATGGATAAATGAATAATAAAAAAAGAATCCACATTGCCCTCTGGATGAAGTCAACTCTTAAATCCTTTCTCTTGGATGCCACCTGCCTGGGACTCAGCATATCTCACCATTCACTGCACATTCATCCTGTGTTACCTGTCCTTCTTTCAACTAGTCTCTTACCTTCCTGTGAATTGTACATTCTTTCCCTACATTTGTCTGCCTGGCCCCTGTTTCTCTTTTCTGGGCTTGGATTAAATGTCAGTATTTCCAGAAAGCCTTCCTGGATCCTCTAAATCTGGGGTGGGTGCCCCTCTGCTGTGGGCTCACCACACCCCGTTCTTCCCCTCCACAAAGCTGTTTCTATAACCCAAAACCAGACCCACTGCCATCAAGTTAATTCTGACTCTTAACGACCTGAAAGGACAGAAGAGAACTGCCCCATCTGGTTAACTGTGTACAAGGTCACAGGGCTCCTTTCTCTAAGGGAAATGATTCTGTCTCCCTTGTTCCCATAGAATGTCACCAAGTACATGTTTAACCAAAAAATTAGTTGCTGTTGAGTTGACCTGAGTTGACCTGTGGTGACTTCATGTGTCAGGGTAGAACTCTGGTGTATTGGGTTTTCGGAGGCTGCTTTTTCAGAAGTACACTGCTTATCCTTTCTTCTGAGGTACTTCAGCCTCAGATCTGTGACCTTTCGGTTCAGTAGCATAGCACATTAACTGTCTGTGTCACCCAGAGACACTAGTAAATGCTTAAGAAAATTTTTGGTTAATTTCATCAAAATGTGGTTTACGTACAAGTATTTTGTCAGGAAAT